TTTTTTTGGGTCTCGAGTTTAGTAAATCCCCTATAGATTTTGGTTACGAACCCTTTATCTGATATGTCATTTTGCAAATATCTTCTCCCATTCTGTCAGTTGCCTTTTAGTTTTGCTGATTGTTTCCTTTGCTGTGCAGAAGATTTTTATTTTGGTGAGGTCCCTATAGTTCATTTTTGCTTTTGTTTCCCTTGCCTCCAGAGACGTGTTGAGTAAAAAGTTGCTGTGGCTGAGGTCAAAGAGGTTTTTGCCTGCTTTCTCCTCAAGGATTTTGATGGCTTCCTGTCTTACATTGAGGTCTTTCATCCATTTTGAGTTTATTTTTGTGTATGGTGTAAGAAAGTGGTCCAGGTTCATTTTTCTGCATGTCACTGTCCAGTTTTCCCAGCACCATTTGCTGAAGTCTTTTTTTTTTTTAATGTTTATTTAAAAATGAGAATGAGTGGGGGAGATGTAGAGAGAGAGGGAGAGAGAATCTCAAGCAGGCTCCACACTGTCGGCTGAAAGACTGTCTCGGGGCTTGATCTCACAAACTGTGAGATCATGACCTGAGCTGAAATCAAGAGTCAGACACTTAACCAACTGAGCCACCCAGGCACCCCAGTATAGTCTCTATCTTAAGGAAATTAGTTAATTTGAATGTTTTTATCCAGCAAAAATAATCATAACTCAAAAGTCGGTATTACCTATCAAGCAATCTTTAAATAAGCTGTATTAAAAAAGACATTAATAAAAGGGAAATACCTGCTAACTACATTCAGGTACTGTGAATTAGATACAATTTCTGAAATGAATTAAAAACTTAAATTTGAGTTGGTTAATTGCAGACATTTGGGGCCCATTCTAGTTAACAATTGGAATCACTGCTTAATACGTTCACTTTTAATCTCAAACCACCTCTAGTCTAGTCCTGACATACTTAAGAAATCTTTTTGGGAATGATCACTGAGGAATCCTCTTGGTTTTTTTGCTATACTTGAGTCAACATGCTTTTCTTAATATATCCAATTTTATTTATTTATTCATTCATTCATTCATTTATTTACTTACTTACTTATTTATTACTATAAAGAACTATTTTCCATCTCTGTAACTATGTGGTCTTTCTTACCAGTATAATGAATACAATGGCAATGCATTTCAAGAATGCATAGACACTAGGGTTTCTCTTCTCTATCTTCCTCCTTGGTAACATAGAGCTCTTAGTACCAAACATTTGAGTGGAAAATTCCCTAAGGCTACCCTTTCTTATGCTAATGTATTTTTTCTTCACTTGCCTCAATTTGCAAAATATTACTGTTAACCCCTTAGGTGTCTTTCTTCCCACAGCCAGTGAGAAGCATTCTCATTGTTATAGCTGGATCACTAAATTGCATAATGTTGCCTATTCTAGACAGAAACTATTGAAGGGAGAAAGGGGGCATAAAGGCCTTTGTATGAATGGAGCATTTGAAGTATTCATTTTATATTCAGAGCATGAGTAGAAACAAAACAATTCTTTCTGGAAAATGTCAGTGTTTAAGGCATGGATTCTGTGATGCATTTTTTTTATTAAAATGCAAAAAATGAACAATACAGAGACCTGTAATTCATTTTATGCTACATTATACATGGGCTTGAGTTCCAACATAAATTATATCCTAGTATCTCTTTTTTTAACTGCAATGTCTTTAAATAATTTGAATTAAAACATCAACTTCCAGCAAATAGATTAAGCATTGGGTTTTGTGAGTATATTGACTATGGCCCCAGCATCTCTGTTTTCTGTGGAGTGCCCAAATAATGAGGAAGATATTCCATCATGGTTTTAATGTGCTTATAATAATATAATTCA